TATATATATATATATATGTATGTGTGTGTATGTATATATATGTGTGTGTGTGTATGTATATATATGTGTGTGTGTATATATATATATATATATATGTATGTGTGTGTATGTATATATATGTGTGTGTGTGTATATATATATGTGTGTGTGTGTGTATATATATGTATGTGTGTGTGTGTATTTTATAGTCAAAGATGGATTAGAAATGTGCATGTTTTTATGTTTATTAGAACAATAGGTGAGGAAGATTGGTACTTACTGATGTAAGATGTAGAACTGATGTAAGATGCTTACTATAAAATATTTTATTTACCTGATAATTCAAAAAGTTTCATGATCTAATGTTGAAAAAAGAAATAGAGTGAAAAAGTTATAATTTTACACAAAACCAGTCGTAAATGCTTCCACGAGTGAATAACATTTGAAAACTCAAATTTCATTAGGTGTAGCAACCTCTATGGAGGCAACAGAGACTGAAGAAGATACTCTAGGAGAATCCTCTATTGATCATATTGAATTGCCTGGTAGAGGGTGCTGTAAAGTTTACATTGCCAGGTACACGTATGACCCCTTGCAGCAGTCACCTAATGAAAACCCTGAATCTGAGTTATCCTTAAATGCTGGTGACTATGTCCTGATTTTTGGTGAGATGGATGAGGTAGTGAAGAATGCTCTATATATTTTCTTAGTTGCTTTCATTTACAGTTTGACAGTGGACTGAGACCAAAGTATAAAAAAGCACAATTTGAGACGATATTGACTGACTTGGAGAAGGGAAATGAGTTTATGCACTACACTAATTGCCACCAAGTTTTACAAATGACTTTGAAGTTTGTTTTTTTTTTTCATTAAATACTGTAATGTTGTTTTGAGGCATAAAGTTTTAATCTAATACAATAGAGAAAGCAAAGGAAGACATTTTATTATAACACTTAGGTTGCCTAACTCTTCTGTTTTTCAAAATTAGATTGTAAAAATTATTTAATATTGATTTATTTTCACATTAGTAAATATCCTGTTTCTTATAAAGCAACATTATGTATATTTCATGATTTTTATTATTAAACTAAGTATTTTAAGGCATCATATATTTTAAAACTTACCTTTGTTTTGAAGTAATGATTAAAGTTGTAATATTTAATATTAGTAATTTATATGTAGAAATGTTATAGAAAGAGTTAAAAATTAGAAAAACAAATGTTTTATTTTCACTTTTTTTTGTTTGTTTTGTTTTGAGGATGGATTTTTTAATGGAGAGCTTCTTGACGGCAGAAAAGGCCTAGTGCCTTCCAATTTTGTTGAAATGCTTTGTGGTAAGTACTATCAAATAAAGTCTTGAGCATTTAATATGGAGTGTGTTTTACTCTAAAGTGAACTTCATAAACAATTTAGTACAAAAATTAATTAGTTTTATTCAAGATGATTGCTGTTGTTGTTTTCTCAGTGAAAATCTACCAATCAACAACCTGTCCACTTCAGGAAATCGAACCCTAAATTTTTATCTTGTAATTCCAAAATACTTAATGCTGATCCATCGGGGGGGTATTCAAAATGGAACACTCTGGAATCACTATCATGCCCCAGTGTATAGAAGAACATTTGTTGTTGGTTTAGTACTAAAATATTTCCTTATTTCAGCTACTTGTAAATGTTCATTCTTTATGTGATGTGGCTTATTAGTTTCGAAACAAAACTTTTAGGCAAGTATGTGTGAAAAGGTTATTTAACAAAATACCTTTATTCAAATATTTGAGTTATGCAACTATCCAACCATAATATTATGTTGTTTTCTATCAGGTGAGGAGCTGTTTGACTTTCAAACATCAGTTCTGTATGGCAATAGAGATTCTGATGGAAGCAGTGCTAGTTTTACGATTGCTGGGGACTACGACTTTGCAGGATTCAGTGGAACAGAAGAAATTAATTCTTTACCCTCTGGTTTGTAGCTCTTAAATGAAGAGTCAGAATGTTCATATTTAATTTAATCATAAAGAATATTTTCTATCTGCCTGACAACTAGAATCATTGGATTAGTGCAAAATATTTGTTTTGTTTTTAGACTTGATTGAGATCAGCAATTTGATCTTGTTCTCTAAGTTTTAGTTAAACATAAAAAATGCTGCAGGTTTTTCTTTTTTTTTATTCACGTGTTTTTACCAAAATGATAAATTCTATTACTTTTAGCCTTAATCTTCAAACCAAATTAAAAACTGAACTTAAGTTTGAAATAGTTCAAGAGTGCTATGTTTTAAACATTCTAGAGGACTATCATCGTATGAATGACTATATAGACTTAGAGGACATAGAAGAGGTTGATGAAGATGATCTTTCTGATGCTGAGCGAGAAATGGAAGGACCAGGTAAAAACTCTTGTACTCTAAATGCTACCATGATCATACTTTGTGAAAACAGCTCCTTGATAAATGAGCAGTGCGAGTAAACATGTCTTGAAGATCAAAACATTTGGTATTTTAGTGTTTAGTTTTAGAAACATTGTGATCATTGTCATAGACCTTTCTTATTAGTAGAGAAATACTATTGTGATTGTAAAGAATCAATTTCCTTATAAGAGGGACACTGTTCTGATTGTAGTAATCAATGGTGTTAATACGAGAGAAACAATTAGGAGAAGAAGAAGAAGAATGTTGATTACAGTAAACCTGAATTGTTAGAAGAGAAACATTGTGATAATTGCAGTATATCTGTTAGGAAAGATAGAATACACTGGTTGTAGTATTGTTTCTTTGTTACTTGTTAAACATAAGGCTACACAATGAGCTATCTGTGCTGTGCCGACTGTGTGAATCAAAGCCCAATTTTTAGCATTACAAGTCCTCTTATTATGATAAGTTTATTTTATTATGAAACAAACAATTTGCTGATGATTGTAAGTATTTCTTATTAGACAAAATGTTGTGCTGATTACAATAAATTGATAGGAGAGAGACAATTTGTTGATTACAGTGAATTTGTCGCAGGACAAATTTTTTTTTTTGCTAGATATTGTATAAAAGTAATTTATTATCCATTTCTAACGCATTCTGTACGTCCAACAACTTTAATCTCTATAATAGTTCCACATCCTCAAAGGCTAATTCTTGAAAGACAGTTAAACAAAAGCATCCTGATTGGCTGGCTTCCACCAGAGGGCTCTGCTGGAAACATACAAATGTATCATGTTTATGTAGATGGGGTACTGAAAGCTACGACACAGAGTTCTGAAAGAACCCGTGCTCTGGTCGAAGGAGTTGATTCTTCGCAGGTTGGTGTTTGACAGAGTATTTGGTATGGCTAGTTGTTTTGCCAGTAATGCTTCAGATTTATTGTTAAAAATATGATATTAAAAATGCATGCACATTCTTACTTTCATGTGTGAATACTAAAAAAAAAACATGATTTATAACAACATACATTATCATTTTATGTTACAAAACTTTCAGATATGACTGGATAAGATTCAGTTTATATCGTAAGAAAAGCACTTAACAAAAT